CCCTCAAGAACCGGTGCCCCCAGCTCCGCCGCCTGTGCCTGGCCGAGACGGACCTCCGCCCCGTCCCCTACGAGAGCATCCCCCCTTCCCTCCAGGCGCTGGAGCTGAGTCGCTGCGAAATCCCCGCCGCCTGGTTCTGCGGCTCCGCCGCCAGGGCCCTGCCCCGGCTGCAGTGCCTCGTTGTCGGCAACGTCCCTGCCTTTTCCGATCACCACCTCCTGAACATCTCCTCCCAGAGCCGCCTGAAGACGCTGAGCCTTTCGGGCACCTACCGCGTCACGGATCAGGGGATTCAGAGGGCGGCTCCGCACCTGGAGGAGCTGGAGCGCCTGGTCCTGCGCCGCTGCGTCGTCGGCGACTCCGCCATGGACTTCGTCGGGCGCCACATGAAACGTCTCCGGTTCCTGGAGATCAGCGACGCTTACTCCCTGACGAAGGCGGGCCTGGCTCACTTAGCAGCCCTGCGGTGCCTGGAGACGCTCTGCCTTGACCTCTGCGACAAGATTTCCCCCGGCGCCATTACTGCTTTGTGCCAAGCGCTGCCCCAGCTGAGGAACCTCAAATTAGGCGGGGCTTGCTTTGAAGACGAAGCAATCGGTAAGATCCAGGCGAGTTTGCCCCACTGCAGTTTTTCACGTACTCCTTGACGCGCGGCCTGGAGCGGCGGGGCTTTTGTCGTTCGGTCCCGCGCCTCAAGTGCTCCTTTTTTTTTTTTTCGGGGTACGGTCTCTTCTCCTGGGAGCTGCTGTACGTATTTTTGGGACAGGATTTTCGTTGGGGCTAAACCAGCCAGAGCGTCGTGTAAAACGGTTTTGGCGGGAGCTTGCTTTGTGGGGGGCTGTGGGGGTGCGGTTTGTTTTTGGCCCCCCTCCCCCCCCCCCCCCCCCCCTTTTCCCTGGAACAGGGGAGCCGGGGAGCGCCCAAGCCTTTGGGAAGCCCGTTGTTGAGCTGACCAAAGGCCGGCTGAGGTTACGAGTTTCAACCCTCTGCCTGCTCCTCTTCCCCCGCCGCTAGACGTCGGGCAGCGGTTGAACGAGCGCGGAATTCGAGGAGCGAAGTGGGGCGCCCTCCTGCCGCTGGAAAACAAACAAAAGAGAGATCCGGCAGCCCAAACCCCAGACTGCCAGTTAATACCTAACTCCGATTGCTCAACCCCCCCTGCACGTACGCTCCAAACTCCGCCAGGGAAGAAACACCTCAGCGACACGTGCCAGAGCCGCTCTTTTCTTGGAAGAGCTCGGGCAATCCGCCTGGACAGCGAGCGTTTTCAGTCCAGGGTGTCGTCTTCCTTCTACTTTCCTCCAGACTCGGTTCTTCCAGGTTACCCTTCGGAAAGGTTTTGGTCGCGGGGCTTCCTGACCGCCTCGTCCCGAGAGCCGCGCCTCCCATTCGCACGGCCAACAGGCCGGCGCGGGCTCTCGGGCATCGCCGTTACCTCTGGGTTTTGCTGGGCCGTGCAGCGGAAGCAGCCGCCTTTCCTTGTCACTTTTTAATCATCCGCGTTCTCCTCCTCCTCCTCCTCCCTGCAATGTCGTAACGCCAGATAACCGACACCGAGCGCTGCGCCGTTGCTGTTCTGTTGGGTCAGCTGAGGGTGTTTTTAAATCCAATACTGTATTTATTAAATAAAAATGCTTTTGATTTATGTTTTCTCACGCCACAGTGTTTTAACTGAGCTAACGTCTCTGTTAAAATAAAGAAGTCGGGCAGCTTTTGGCACCCGGCGGCGTCCTGGGGTGTTAACAGCTGAAGACCTGCTGTCCTGGGATGAAGGTAACAAGCGGGGACATGGAGTCAGCGATGGCGTTAGCCAGGCCGCGGTGATCCAGAGCTTGGCCCAGGAGTCCCTCGGGGAGACCCATCCATTTGTCTCCCGATTTAGCCAACCCTTCAGTCCCGGCAGAGCTTTTCCCCTTACGGCAGGGAGACACGTGGGATTCCAAAGAGCTCGGACGAACGCCCGAGTCCTGGATCCTCCGTCCCCTCCCCGAGGGGGTCTCCCACGCTGTTCGCCTCCCCCCCGATCCGGACCGGGAGAGACGTGAACTGACGTTTCCCGCAGAACGTCGGTCGCTCTTTTTTTTTCCCCCTGCCCCCCCGCCCCCTCCTTGGGAGCTGGGGGAGACGAGAGCGGTCTCCGAGGAAGCGCAGCGGAAGGATTAACGTCTCGGCTGAGCCTTTTCCGGGCTCCGCCTCGAGATCCGGCTGTTTTCACCCCAGGCACCCCCTGCCCTCCGTTCAGCTTATGCAATAAAGCCGTTCGGTTTCAGACAGACCCGGGTGGCAGTGACCGACCGTGTCGTCCCCCCCCCAGCCCCGTGACGAAATCCTCGTTGCCGTGCATCTCGTTTAACAGCCGGTCTTTGTGCCCTGGCCTCCTTTCCCTTCCTAGACACGATCTCGGTGTAGCTTTGGGGCAAATAAACAACGGCAAAGCGCCCCAGCTCTGCTTTGGAAAGCATCCCAAGGCTGCTGGCTTAATAACCGCCGCTACGCGTTTATCACAGGCCCGGAGATGTACGCTGGAGTAATTAGTGTTATTAAAACTTCAAGCCCTATCTGTCACAGCGCTCTCCGGGCTCGCAGAGCCAAGGTAAAAACGGCAAAAGGGAAAATTAAAACCCGTAAAAATCCGTCAGTCAGTCAAGGCGCAGCTCGATGCGGCGAGAACCTAAATGCTCTCTCAATGTTTGCAGTGGGATGTTTGCGAGCCTGACGGCACAGCGCTCCCAACAACGTAATTTCATATCCGGCAGTCCCAACTCGCCAGTTTTCCAGCGGCGCTGCAGAGCGCATAATTGCCGCACGTGGAATAGCGCGCGGAACAGCAATTACAAGTTTACACGGCGCAAAGCGGGCTTTACGGGTTTGGAAGCGGGAGGGGAGCTGTAAATGTCGGCCGACCACGGGCAAATTATAGGAATAAGGGACTGAAAGGGTCTTCTTGAATCATCAGTTCTGCTTCTGCCCCGGTAGAACAGCAGCTCGCCCTCCTCACACATCTGCTGAAGCTCTTGGAGGGCTGTTCCAGACCCTCGTTGCTTCTAATTTCCAAATTCGGGGCGTTTCTACTCTGTTTACCTCCGTTTCGTCTTTTGCCAACCTTTAACTTGGACCGGTTCTTCCCCCCCCGCCCCGCCTTAGAGCTGCCTACCGCACATCAGGATGACATCAAAGCCCAACTTCTTTTAAAAATACGGAACAAAAGGCTTAAAAGAGAGCCAGCTAACCCCCCCTCCTCGGCGAAGCCGGGGCACGAAACAGCTCTCCGAGTCTTGTCGGGGCTGAGAGGAGCAAGGGTCCGCAGCCACCAGAGTGAAAACAAACCTCCGAGAGGCCCTAACCTTTCTGGGGCATCAAGTACTGCGGGGAGCGACCCCGCATCAGCAAGCCGCCCCTACGCCTCCGCCAGACGCAGATTTCCACGGCACGTTCGTACGGGTGCTTTGTCAGACCCGGAGCCGTTTTTGTTTCCTTGGGCGAGCGCGTCTGTTGGGGCGCCGCTTGTGCCTTCAGCTTCGGTTTCCGAACCGAAGACCATTTCTTATTTTCCGGACCCGCTCGTTTCCACGCTTGGAGGAAACACCTTCAGAAACTCCAGAATTTGCCCCTTTTTTAAGCCAAAGGGATGGGGAAGAGTTACAAGCAGAAAGGGCACCCGGCCTGGCTGGAGGGGGGGGGAAAAAAACACCCCACAAACCTCCAGAAAGATGAATTATTGGAAGTGGACACAATCCAAGCTGCTATTTTGAGAGGACAAACCAATAGGACAGAGCCTGAAAAACTGCTGGTTAAATTATAACCTTTGGACTGGACATCCCTAGGGGTATTGCGAGTTCTCTCTTCCAGAGATCCCGGTGAAAAAGCTTCTGCTTCCTTGGTCCCGAGTAAGGTCTCCCCGGCCAGAGCTTACCAGGATGGACGAGGAACATCTTCACGACGACCTGCACGTTTTTAAAGGTAAACTTCAGCCGCGCCAGCCCTCCAACCCACCGCCTCGAGCGGACGGGCAGGAGCGAAGAGGGTGACGAGACCGTGTCTTGGACCGTGGTCTATTCTCCACCAACACGCTCGGTCTCTGAGGGAGAGGAAGGTCCGCGCTCTCCTTCCTCCTCTGCTTCGGCAACTCGGCTAACCAGCTCTAACGGGGTTGATTGGGCGGGGTGGGGAACCCCGCGCTGACGAGCTCGTCCCCCGGGGTCGAGGCTCAGGTGGAAGATGAGGGAAAAGGGCCACGGCCGCAGCTGTGGGCTGCCGCTGAGATGAAGGTCCCTCGGTGGTGCGAAGCCGGTGGTGCCCAACCGGCAACACCTGAGAGGGTTCAGCCTTGGAAGTGCCCCGAACCAGAGTCAAATTCGGCTCTTCCCGGAGCCTTCCCGAGCCGAGCTCCCCAAACCGGGTGGCCCGGCACCCTTGCAAACCTCCCCAGGTTGAACCTTGGAACCACCCATGGGTATTTCCAAGGTTCAACCCCTCCGAGAAGGGCACCCGATGCCAGCTAGGGACGGCAAAGAGCCCTCCAGGCCGCGGGACTGTCGCTTGGGGAACCATTTCCCTTTCGAAAAGGGTTACTAGACAGCCGAGGAGGGCTTAAAAACATGTCGCAGCCCAAAATCCACGGCGTAAGCTTATAATTTCTTTTGATTTTGCTTACGTGGTACCTGAGGTCACCTGCCCTGCCCTTTAGCAAGGCCACGCCAGTGCTAACACGACAACTGTGCGACAGCCTCCGTTTTGGGGCGCTTTCAGCCCCCCCCCAGGTCGGTCTGGACAGGAATTATCATCAAAACGTTGGCTTCTGTAGCAAATAGTTAACTATTCCGGGTTATTTATTAACCCTTCAATAAATGGAACCAGAGGAGCTATGAGAAAATCCCGGTGATCCGAAGGGAATATTTTCACATCTGGTTTTTTGGGTTTGGTTTGTGTTTTTTTTTTTTTTTCTTTTAAAGACAGAAACTTCTTCCGGCAGAAGCTGAGATCCTTTTTCACGGTATACTTGCTACTGGCCCTCTCCTTCTTGCTGATCATCACCCTGTTCGCTGTGTCGCTCTCCAGAGGTACTGGGACATCTTTGAACTAATTAATTAGGCAGGTAGGGCCGAGGGATACACGAGGTCGAAGCGCGGGCTCACGCTCTAGAGGACTCTATAGCTCCCAATTCCACAGGACAGGATGACCAGAGGAGCTCCCGGGCTGTCCCATGTAGTGGCTGCTGACGTCCACGCTACCGTCTCGCTATAAAATCTATATATAAATATATAAAATACTGGCTAATCCAAGCTATAAGCCAGTATTTTGAGTTTCCTGGGATTCCTTTGCCCCGTAGGCTGCTGGAAAAGTGCATCCCCAGCAGAATAAAGACGCCGGAACAAAACAAGGCTAACAATCTGTAGCCTCGCCGGGGTGAGGTGCTCGCAGGCAACCCTCGGCGCGTGGGTGGCAACACGACCGATAACCCAAGCGTCTCTCCCTCTCCCTCTCTCTCTCTCATAGTTTCAGCCATTTCTTCTAAACTCAACGAGGTGCAGCCGGAACGGAAACAGAACTTTTCCGGCAGGGATTTTCTGTGTAAGTCCTGGCCGCTGCCCAAACCCACCAGCTTTTCTTCCCCTGGGAAGTTTCCCTAAATTGTCCCCAGAGTGTTCCCGCCCCGGATTGCTTCGCTAAGGCCGTGCAGGGCACCCGTCCCCTTCTGGGTTTGCTGCTCTGCCAGCAGCGAGCACGTTTATATTTTAGAAAAAAAACCCAAAAAACCACAAATTTTCCTTGTGGTAGAGGTTTTTTCGGGTGCCGGCTGCCGCCTTCGTGGCAATCCAACACAGAGCAAGCTCCGGGGCTGGGCCGCTGCGTCCGTACCAGTTTGGCGCTGGAGCGCTGCTGGGAAAACCCTCTTGCTGGGACGAGCCCAGCGAGGACCGGCTCGACTGCCCGCGAGCCCCCTGACTTCCCCCTCGTCCTCCTTTCGCCAGTGTTTCCCTGCGGACCCGGATCCAGGGAATGGGAATACTTCGATGGAAAATGTTACTACTTCTCCCTGACCAGAATGAGCTGGTACAAGGCGAAGGCTCAGTGCGAAGAGATGCACTCGCGGTTGGCTATCATTAACAGCTACGCCAAGCAGGTAAAGACTCCAGCTCCAGGCAGGAAAGCCCAGGCTTGCCCGAATCCTGCCCCAGCCTTCTGCAGAGCACCCCCTCCCCGGCCCCGGTACCTCCCCGGCTCCCTGCCGCCATCCTGCGCACCCCAACCTCGCTGGGCAGCCGAGGGCTGGTGCTTGTTATCCTTTGCATCAGCCAGCAGAGAGCAGGCAGAACCTGCTCTGCCTGCCCGCTGCCTGCATCCAGGGCTTCTCCTGTACGTGTGCCGGATGCTTGACCACAGCACCGGCACCTATCCTGCCACCTCCACGTTGTAAATCAATAGCCAAGCGCAGAATTGTACCTCTCCGGCTCCTCCGTGGTGCAAACGCGGAGCCGAGATTGCCCCGAGCCTGCCGGCTCGAGGAGCCTTTTCCTGGTGCTTTTCCCTCCTGATCCCTCTCCCCGCTGCAGAATTTTGTCATGTTCAGGACAAGGAATGAGCGTTTCTGGATCGGGCTCACGGACGAGAATTCGGAAGGGGAATGGGAATGGATCGACGGGACCGACTATAAAACCACGTTCACGTGAGTGCCGGCCTGCCCTGCGTTTTCATGCCCGTCACCCCAAAACAGCAGGCAGCTTCCCTGCCCGCACACCCCCGTTTCAGCCAGCAGACCGGGTTTCTTCACCCTGCCCTGGGATGGGCACTCACCACGAGGTCTAACAGCAGCAGAGGCAAGAATTAGCGTCTAAACCCACCTAAAATCAGACAGGTTTAGCTAGTCCCTGCCCTTCTCCCAGCCCCAGGGAAAGCTGCTCCGCTCAGCTGCCTGCCCCCGCTGCCCTCACTCAGTTTGATCCTCCTCTGCCCAGATTTTGGAAGGAGGGAGAGCCCAACAACAGCGGCAGCAACGAAGATTGTGCCCACATCTGGGTCTCCGGGAAGTGGAACGACGTCTACTGCACCTATGAGTGCTACTACGTCTGCGAAAAGCCTCTGCCCAACTGAGCAAAGCCACGCGCGGAGGCAACGTCCGATGCTCTGGCACCGCAGGCGTTCCTTTTCGCTTCTTAATTTATACTATCCGGGCGCCCGCTCCCCACTCTTCCTCTCCACCGCCCTGTCCCGAGGAAGAGCAGGGATGGATTTTGATGGTCCTAAGCAATATACGCAGGGATCTGCGTCCTCCGTGGGGAGCTCAGCCTCATAAAGGACGATTATTGCTCTGGTTAACGAAGCTTCTCGTGTTTCTAGCCGCGCGTGTGAAGGGGTGGGGGCGAGCTGGGGCTGCAGACGGACGTCGTGCAGGTTCAGCAGCAACGCCGGGGAGCAGGCCGGGGAACAAATGGGACAGAAGATGGGATTTGCTGCCCAACGCAGCATCCCGGGAGCGGGACGGGGGCATCTCCCGCGGTAGCGTCAGGGAGGGGAGGCTGGGATGGACTATAGCAGAGCTGAGCCACGTCCGAGAGGATTCGGCGCCTCCGCCGTGAGCCTCCCCGCTCCTGAAGGGGTTTGGTACTGAGGGCAGCTCTGCCGTCTCTAAGAGCAGCCCCTCTGCCTGCCGGCACCTGCCCGCAGTCGGGGCTGCCCGTACCCACTCCTCCCGGCTCGAGTCCCTGCCACCGAGCAGAGGATCCGAGTCAAGCAGCCGTGGGACACCAGTAAAGGCGGTTTCAGAGGTGGAAATGAGGTTTGGTT